TGTTCAGCGGAGTGATATATTGAGGCATTGTTCCTGCCCTTGTACCACAAACAGGAGAGAGCTACGCAGTGTAGCACCGCACTCCATAGCATGCCAAAAACTGGTGGTTTGGGGGGTCTTCAGGATCTTTTATGTGCTATTTTCTGATTGTATATAGACAACATAGCCGGCCTGGTCAGAAAACAGCCGAAGACCACCAAATCCCCAGTTCTATAAGCCTGCTACGGAGGCTACCACTAAGTCATTTCCTGTTCATCTCACCGCTACTAATGTTTTAAAAGTCGAGCGACCACCTGTTGGAATAAAATGCGGAAAGCTGCGTATACAAACCGCCCTGACTTAAATATATTCTCAGATATAGTTGTAGTGATAAATTCAAAATGGGTGATTTTTTTTTATCAACAAACTGATGCATGAAAAGTGCAGCTCTTTTGTTTCCCCTTCAACTCGTTGTGTACCTTGTAGTTTGTAGATTTTTAAAAGCGGGAAATATTTTCTTACATGTTAGAAAATATGTAAATACAATTCCTTGTGTTTGTGTTGGACATAACCCTATATGCAGTGTGTTTTGTTTTGTTGCACCAGTACTGGTTTGAAATTTACCGCATTGCCATTGAAATTCTACCAGTGTATTACCAGCGCCAGAAATAGTTTTGGCTAATCTTCTCTGTAATTTACGGCTTCTAAAATTCATCTCAAAGCTGAATTAAACCCGATCTCTACTTTAATTTCGCTGGGGGGACGATGGGTCACTTGAAACGTCCGGACGAATTTACGTCCAGCTTTTGGGATTGACCTTGTGGAGTGCAGCAAGCGATCATTTGGCGAGAACTGTCGTAAACCGGGCTGTAAGTGTAGTAATTCGTCACGAAAATGTCGTAACCTCTTCGTGGGTAGGCTTATTAGAAGGTCATCCTGTGGTTCAGACAAATGCTCTCTTCTTACGCACATCTATTGCACTCAAGGCATGGAAATTCTTCTGGTCACACACTAAGGAATAGAATGTACAGGATAGCTGAAAAAAAGAGGAAATATCGGATGAAAAATACAAGTAATTACAAAAAATCACCATAACGACGGTTTTAGAAGTCATAATTTCCACCTCAATCTTTCAAAAGTTTTTAGGTACTTCTAAAGAACCTTTTAGTTTTTGTCAGTCCCTCTTTGTGCATTACGGTTCTCTCACAGTTACAGTGAAAGAGATGTTCCAAAAGGCAACCTTGAGCATAATCCCTAGCTCCAGCGTTTGGTGATTACCACTGGTACACGAGCACTTTAAGGGCTATGTTCTTAATTAACTTTCCTTCAAGATTTCTACGAGCTTCATCTGACGGTGAATGCAGTTCTTCATCATGCTCACCCCCTCCACACATACTTTACATTGTAATGATGGGATCTAAGATGACAGTTTAATCCGAGGAAGTATATTAGCCTTGAAGACAACTGCAGTCCATACTCTACAGCTGGGGCGTTTTAATAACAGAGTTCTCCGACCCTTAAAGCGGAGTGGTTCACCCACAGCTGCGCAAACGTCACCACAATTTTGCCTTTTCCGCCGGACGATCGACATGAAAGCCCCAGCTCTCCTCAACCGTCCTCGCCTTGGGTGGCAAGGCCAATCTACATCTTCTGCTTGGAATAAATCCCGTTGAAAGGTAAAATTGAAGGTCCCAAGGATCCAAGCGTACCAATTGTGATCATTTGTTCCGCCACGTTTGCTGGCAGTGGCGCCCTCTAGGTGGGCCTGGCCGATAGGGAAAAAAAAGGCAAGCGAGACCTTTCAGTCCATGAAAGGTTTCACTCGCAATTTATCTCTGGCTTTCTCATTTCTCGGCGGCACACCAGCGTCAGTCAGCGGACACAGGGAAAGTTTACCCGGAGTGCCCGGGCAGTGCAGCAAACTATGACGTCTCAAAGATCGGGGTCCATATATATAGTTTTCCACTCATAGTTACCTTCGCCAAGAATTGACGAAGGTTATGTTTTGCTGGCCGTGTGTCTGTCTGTGTGTCTGTCTGTCAACAGCATAACTCGAGAAAGCTTAGATGGATCATCTTGATATTTGGTAGGTGGGTAGGTCTTTATGAGACGTGGAACTGATTAGATTTTGGGCCCCCTAGTTTTTGGATAAATAGCTGTCCAACTAGCCTCCATAGCATGCCAAAAACTAGGGGTTTGGGGGGTCTTCAGGGTCTTTTATGTGCTATTTTCTGATTGCATATATATATATAGACAGCATAGACGGCCTGGTTGAATTACCCCCGTTTTAGAACTGGGCTAATCAGAAAACAGCCGAAGACCACCAAACCCCCAGTTCAGCTACGGAGGCTGCTGTTTAACTACGTACATATACAGATTCCGTTGGTCACTGACGAAAAGTACTTCTGACAGTTCTCAAAATCTATCCAGTTGCTTGAGTAACAATTTTCAAACACATATTGGGACATACTTCCGATGAATACATCTAACCATCTTTCTTTGGCTAGTGACTTGGAGTTTAGAGGTTGTACAGTGGAACCATTGCATCCAACTGGCATCTATAATTCAGTAATATGCCAAAGTTACAGTACAAACATGATGGAAATGCTATGAAATGAACAACACACTTCAGAATGTATCAAAAACGAAGGTCGACCGAAAATATCTGATGGGAGAGTATGTAGAGGTGCTCTACGTCTACGTATGTTCCGTCCTTTTATATTAACACTATCTATATGTGATGAACTCTTGGTTGACCACATTTCTTTCTAGAACGCAAGTTTATTATGACATCCTTAGTAAAGAATACAATTAAACTCTACTATACTTTAGATATTCTGATTTTCACATACACTGTGTGAAAATATACACACTTTTACAATTAAACATCCCATTCTTAGATATTAACAACCTATCCGATAGTGCTACTGTGTATCTGCTACTTAATGGATCACCTTTACTTTCATCTAAAGTCAACTCTCAAATACTCATTATTACACAGCTATATCTCTGAAACTAAGCGATTTAACAACTGATTTATACTTCTGTATTCATTTATAATAGCTAAACTCTGTTACCTGGACGATACCCATGTTTTATGATGTAATTTTTATTTTATGTCTAGTGGTGACGTGAATATAAGCATGTTGCTTGAGTGCGTCACCAGTATGTATTGTATTTTTGCATGTTGAAAAAAAAACACTACCGGTGCTTCTCACACATTGCTTAATGTCAACCAGACACCTTCCTCATAGCTTCTGACTGGAGTACTACTTCTCGCCGCTACAAGGCAGGTGGCGCTTTTGCGATTAGAACACAATCCCAATCGTGACCTTGTATCCTCCCCCCCCCCGTCCCTGTTCATCACTGGGGTTGAGTTTCTTGTCCACACAGCTTCCTTGATCCAACGGATTCGTCTGTTGTCCTCTGTCTACTACATTGTCCCCATCCCCTTACGTCGAAACGTACGCAGAAAGCTCTACCAACCTGATGATATTATTTTAGGATCGTCTGCACTTCAACAATATAAAACCTTATTTCGTCACCCCTCCCCCATTAAACTAGTAAAGAATATGTGCACCATTCATCAAACAATGGCATTGATTGACCTTTTTTATTGAAACTTTATTCGCAAAATCATGCCCGAAGGCTACTAATGATTGCTTTTACAATTAAGTATAATACTCATTGCAATACAGTAACAGGAGACAGGTAACAACTGTCTGGAAAAAAACTTCTACTTCTACTACTACGCTAGCTATTTTGGGGTTCGACTTCTTTTTTTATTAGTACTAACAAAACTAATGCCATGTACTAAAATAAAAATACTTAGTACGTGTGTATGAGTCCATACGACGAACATACATCTGTACAAGCAAAAAGCACAAAATTGCAGTGAAATATGAGTGAAACGTTGAAATATCATAGCTCATATAGATAATCCTCGAAAAATAGTTCAATGATGTGCCCTAAATGGAATATGTATAATGTTAAAGCAATGCGACAAAAAGTAACTTTTTCAATCTAATTCTCTCTTCTTCAATACTTTTACACATATACATTTTTCTAAATATATTCTAGATATTATCATAAAGATACAACAAGTTATTTCTGGACCAAAGGTAGCTCACGCCAGAAATATATTTGTTATGTAGTATTGCAATTGAAAAGGGCTAAGTTCACACTCACACAACACACGCACCCAAATCAACTAGTACTGTTCAATATCAAATATATGAAAAAATGATTTGAGGTCTCTATCTAATGTAAAATATTTACATATCTGCTTTAAGATGGTGACTGCGTGACTATAGGTAGTTCAGTGTCATTCCGGTATGATACTTACTCCACAAGTCAAAAGTACTTTACATTTGGGACCGCATTGTAGATATATAATAACAGTGAACACCTGGCTTCGATGCACATTGAACCAGTAACACCTAGCTTCAGTACACAGTGAACAAGTAACACCTACCTTTTACAAAAAATATTTATTCCTCCCCTATAACTTGCAATTGTTAAAAAAAATCACCTCCCAGAATACTTTGCGTGTGCCCATTCACCAATTTCACACTTCCCATAATGCCTAGTAAAAGTCACGGATATGACGTATTACCCCCTCCCCCTTCATCGATGTAATATTTCGAACAAGTTCTATTGACAAACTGGTCAACTAACTATATTGTTCGGAATTATTTATCTAGTATAAAGTGCATGCCATAATTGCATTTTTGTTGGAATTAGAGAAGATGACGTGCCTTCTATCGTTCTACCTTCTACCGAAGACTCTCCTACTCGCACGGTCGCATTACGTACGTATATTAGAACGATAGAAGGTACGTCATTTTCTCTAATTCCAACAAAAATGCAATTATGGCATGCGCTTTATACTAGAGAAATAATTCAAAACAATAGTTGACCAGTTTGTCGATAGAGGAAGGGGGAGGGGGTGGCTACGTTATATCCGTGACCGTTACTAACTTACTAGGCATTATGGGAAGTGTGAAATTGGTGACTTGCAATTGTGAAAAAAATCACCTCCCAGAATACTTTGCGTGCCCCCCATACGACGCCGCCATTTTGTTTCTATAACGGTGTGTCCCTCCTTGTCTTGATGTACTCAGCTATCTTCGGGTGGTTAGACACCCGCTCCTTGTGTGCCTTGACCAGCGGAACGGCGCCCAACATGCCGAGGAGGTCTCTTTCCTTGGAAGAGCTCTCCAACATGTCCAGCAACGAAAACATCTCCAGATCCGCATGGGTCATCTGAACAAATTTGTAAAAAAATATTCGGATTACACCACAGATCAATTGGTACAACTACACAGACTTGACAATGAATTGGAAGCCCCGACCACCAACCAGCCAAGATTGGCTGACGTGCGGGTGCAGTCTGACCAGATTTAGGCCACCCCTACCTTTCTACACAACTGTAATCGAATTTGAGTTAAATTTTTGTCAAATTTGACCCCCGAGGTTGTCCCGATCACTGCCGACCTACTCCCGAACACCAGGCAACCATCATGCGACCATGTCCGAACCTCCAGTCCTCTCCTGGATGTCGTATAAACATTTTGAAACTTTCGGATGGCACAGCTGAACAGTAGCCAACCTCACCGAACACCAGCCTACGACAGTAGCCGACCTTGCTTCCGATCTACTCCCAACCATGGTTGGGGGGAATTCGGCTGGTGCTCGGGAGGACATGTTCGGCTATATGTGACATGGGCTTGAAGAAAACGTCCCCCTTTCAGTGCTTTGCCATTACAAAGTCACAGTCCTTGAAACTTTGCCTGCAATAGTCGAGGATTGCTATTTTGACTGTATGCTATCGATAATATTTTTGTGCTATCCTACATATCCTTCTTTGACAATAGCGGCGAAGACCTGTATTGTGAAAGCTAACTTCATGATGAATTCATTCCCCGCAAAATGTGGAGGATTTCTATCGTGTTATTCATATTCCCATTGTTAGGCTGTGTAGTCCTTGCCTAAGATATTTGATGCCACCACGAGTTCTGATACATGGATGCAGGTAAGCGAATTAATTACGCACGACGAAAGCGCGCGAGGGTAAATTTTGTCTTGACAGAGATATTACTCAAGCTGAGCTAAACGTGAGCGATACAGTAAATCAACATTACCTGGAAGAAATAGATGACTGCGGGTAAAATCGCCATGGATTACTTTGCGGTAAGTTGTCATGCTAAAAACATGAACGGCGATTCACTTCTGCTGCTAACTGGTTGATAAGTATGATTTGGACGTTGGAAATGAGCCGTTGCTATATAATTGTGGAGTAATCTGCGCCCGTTAAGTGTTCAAATAGGAATATTGATGGTAATTGATACTCCAAACAGACGCTTTGCCTCCGATCTATATCAATGTACGAGTGCAGAGAATTGACATTATAATAAGGCCCTTATTTCCTTTCGTCAATTATGGCAATTTTCCGTTCCAGACACCCCCAGACGGATGATCGTTAGGGCTAATTTTCGTTGTAACAACTTTTAGTTAGCAAGTTGCCCCTGGAAAGACAGGGGGAATCCGCGAGGCGCCGGGTCCTGGAGCTAGGATCTCGGTAAGCACTTGTCGCTTTAATGGGGTTAATGACATCAGAGGGGGCGCGCTCGGGGATTAGCCGGTTCAGGAGGGGGTGGAGACGGAGAGGAGGGGGGCTGTCAACTTGGACATGGCCGCGGAGAGAGACACCTTTCTAGAACCTACTACTTCAAAGCTTTGGCGCACCAGGACACTTCTGACCATGTCTACCCTGCCTTCTTTTGACGGTATCCAACCCCACAACGTACTCAACTAACGCTAAAAAGTGGCAGCGAGAATATAAGTTGTGCCTAACTTGAGTTCGCAGTCACTTAGTCCATGTCCTTTTATTTGTATTCATCACTGTGCTTCTGGATAATTAAAAAAAAACTAACCCTAAGATACATGATACTTTCACACGTTCAAGGTAATGACAGAAGAAATTGTGGTTGAGCTTTTAAGGTGCAGTTCTTAGTATTTGAAAACCAGATTTTTTTTTAAAGTCAATATTCTAATCACTCATATCTACATATTAAGTTGAAACAACATGTTCTCGTATGTCGACATTCATGTAGCAAAAATGCCGAAAATTGTGACGGAAAATGGTTACAGGTAGGAACCTGGGCTGACTTTTGGGGTACCACCCAGAAAATAAAGGACTCTTCTTCGGTATTGTTTCTGTACTATTATTTTAAATGCCCGAAGTATGAAATACTAAGGCAAATCGGTGGTAACGTGGGGCAGCATGTGCCAATGTCATACGGATTGTTTCCGCGTGCTGCAGTTATCAAATTACATTCATAACTGTTGGATTCTACAGAATAAGCAGAAATAATGGACAACCTCGCAACAAAAGTATACCGCGGGGACTAAAGCTATGGCGTTGCCATGGACAACGGTCAGTAAACAAAGCTGTGAAGTTCAGCTTGGATCATCGCCGCGGGAAAGTTTAGACTGAGACGATGACATGCTGACGACTGAGGAGGGTAATTGAAGTGATTGTCGGTAATGAGAGGAATGGTAACAATGTTAGAGAAGAGGTCTAGAGGGTGGGTGGGTGTGGGGAGGGGGGTGGATTGGGTACTCCGGTTTGGAAAATCTAGCCTCCGTAGCAGGCTTATAGAACTGGGGGTTTGGTGGTCTTCGGCTGTTTTCTGATTAGCCCAGTTCTAAAAACAGGTAATTCAACCAGGCCGGCTATGTTGTCTATATGCAATCAGAAAATAGCACATAAAAGCTCCCAAAGACCATGAAGACCCCCAAAACCCCCAGTTTTTGGCATGCTATGGAGGCTAGGGAAAATCCATCTTCATCATGCCGGTAGCCAGGATTTTAAATGGGGGGAGGGGGGTTCTTCCCACTGTCTCAAGGACCAGCGAGCGCCGTTGGCCTGAGCCCCAAGGTTTCTAGTGGGGTCCGGGGCATGTTCCCCCGTAAAATTTTAAAAATTGAACCTTCTGAAATGGCATTTCTGCGTTTTGAGAGGATGTAAAATGAATGAGACATAGCTTTTTATTGAATGACAAAGTGAGCAGTTTTTCTACAACTCCAGCCCCTCTGGTGATACGAATCAGTTCATCTTTTAAAGAAATATCTTGGATTAAGATAAAAAGTGGATCTTCCTCTCAGATGCAAAATTTCTTTTAGGTATACGGTATCCCTTTGCTTTATTTTCTTTCGGGGGGAAGGTTGAATCCATATTCTATTATAGGTTCATTTATTATTCATATTAAAGTTTGAGCGTCTTGTCTTATATCTTTATTTTCCATAATATACAAGTGGTGGCGAGAGTTACTCTCCAAGCAGAGGTTGTGGGGGATTCGAATGATCGTTAGCTTAGCTTCTTATATTCGGCAGTTTTTTTGTCGCTACCCCCACCAACGGTGGCCGGCGACCTTCTCTGGCTAATGGATACTGTCTTGCGAACGAAAGGGATCTGCTTTGAGAGTAGGCGAGAATCGCGTGAAATTTGAGTCTGTCGCCACTTTGTCTTTGTCCATTTTGTATTTTTTTTATTCCAACATGTAATCACCAGACGTGGTGACGGCACACTCAAGTGTTATCAACTTATATTAATGCCGCCACCAACACAGGGGACAAATACATGACAGGACAATACTCATTTTCACCTGAGCGAAGTGAGGAAAGTCGTGTAAAGTGCCTTTCCCAAGGGCACAAGATCGGTGGCATGCCAGGACTCGAACCCGGGACCTCTAGGAGTCGCGCACTCTGCCTCTACGCCACACGACCCCACAATTTTTGTCCATTTTGTATTGATGTATATCTGAATAAAAAAAATAAACCGTGGCCAACGTAGCAAAGTTACTAAAACATTGGCAAGAAAAGACACTACAGTTTGCTTCTTTCTTTTTTTAGAAAGCCGTGAGGGGTTAGCCGCCCCCCTCCCCCATAGGCATGCACCTGCGTTGCCAATAGCAACCACCCAGACTGTTTACCGCTGCCACCTTGTCAACAGTCTAGTCGAACGTCGCCAGAGTCATTATGAAAGTCACCACCTCTGTCCGACCCAATCCCCGTTACCCCTCCCCCACGTTACCCGCTAAGTGTCTGTGCGTGCCATTGTCGCTACAGGCAAAACTACAATTCCGTTATCATTAAACAACACAGCGGTAGGCCTCAGCTACCCGTACCAGATTTATGTAATGTCCATTTTTTCTGAAAATATCTGAAATTAATGTCTCCCTAGGATTCTTTAAGTGAACATGATTAACATGAGTATTTATACGGGCTTTAATAGGGTATGAATTAAACAAACCTTTATTGTACATGGAGATTTAAGCTTCATTCTATAATAATGTCAAGAAACTTCATCTGTGATATCTATGTCAGTCTAAAGACCTGTTGTGTCTAAGTGATTTAGACATCATCTTTTTAGCGTCTGTCTTTGTGATTAGTCCGTGTATTTTGGGGATATGGCTGTAAAAGTTATTGTTGTGTATGCTGTGTATGTATTTGTACTTGTACCTGTACTTGTCTCCATGATTTGAAAAAAAATATCCATTTTTTCACCGCATAATTCTCAAACCAAAAATACAAACTATATATAGAGACTCTCCTCAAGGTTTTGTATCCTTAAGCTAGCTTTTTTCCCAAAAACCTCGCATTTTGCCAAGAAAATCTACGAGTATTTCACATTAATTTCTAACTAGCTACTCGTACGGTCCTACCTGAATCTTTCCAATGTTCATTTTTTTTCACCTCCAGTATGGTTATCAAACTTAAAATACAAACTATATATAGAGACTCTAGCCAAGGTTTTGTATCCTCAAACTAGCTTTTTTGCCAAAACCTATCTACGAGTATTTCACATTTGTACTTACCTCATTTGAAATAATAAAACCATTTGTAGCTAGCTACCCGTACGATCGTACCTGTACCTCTCCAGTGTTCATTTTTCACCTCCAGCATAGTTATCAAACTAAAAATACAAACTAGAGATTTCCTATTCTCGAGCCAGTTACTTTGCCAAAGTCTATCTATGACACGTTTGTGCTGACGTCATTTGAAAGAATCATATCAGTTCTTGCCCACTATCAGTACGTGTACCAGATCTCTCTAATATTAATTTTTCCCCTCCAGCATAGTTATCAAACCGAAAATACAAACTAGAAACCCTCCACAAGTTTTTTTTATACTCGAGCTAGTTATTTTGCCGAAAGCTGTCTATTTCACCTTTGAAAACATACCAGTTCTAGCTCATTACAAATTCATACCTTGCATGACATAACTAGGGAAGAGCATGGTTTATAAATTCTTTACGTATTACTTTTCAAAAAGAGGCAAATCTGACCAAAAGATTTTTTTATATACCTGCAAGAATATCTTTTTCAATCATGTTTCGGTGTTGTAATTTTTCTTTCGGGTTGCAGAATTATGTTACGTTTTACACGTTATGTCACAAGTTTAAATAGATACCATTGTATTGAGTTCTGTAGCATGTGAAATGTTATGAAATATGCCATTAAAGGCATCCAATGCGATTTCAGAGCAGCAAAACTGGAAATATTCTGAATAAAGATATCTTTATGACATTGACACATACTGCTTCAATTAGCACAGTTCAATCATTATTTCATACTTTGGGTATTTAAAACTGCAGAAACAAGCCCCAAGATGAGTCCTTTCAGTTTTATGGGAGGTACCCTAAAAATCAGCCCAGGGCCCCTCCAGTAGCCATTTTCCGTCAGAATTTGGGGGATTTTTGCTCCATGGCTGCATGAGGGTCAACATTGGGATAGTGTGGTTTCAATTCTGTATGTATAGATAAGTGACTATATATATAAAACATTGGCTTTGAAAAATCGGGTTTCCAAGCCCTAAAAACTGCACTGGATGCCTTTAAAGTTTTTTTTTGTACGTACCGCCTTCCCAACAAAGAATCCCTGTCCGCCATTGTTCATTTCCAGAAGTTTTTCAAACTGTCTCAGTCTTGTTGGCAGCCTGCTATCCCAGAATTCATCCTCCAGTGAGGCCTGGTACATGTTGGGAGGAAAGATAATAAAAAAAAGAATCATCATCAGAAACCATAATCATAATTTTCAACTAAAATATTTCAATTGTTAATTGGTGCAAAAATGATACATAATGATCATTTAAGAGGCATTCTACAAAAGGCTGTATAGATAAGAGTGGTAAACTCATTACAAGTGGTGGAACAGGTGGTTTTAAAAATGTTTTGTGCAAAATACTCCTAAATGAAGTGAAAATGATAGGAAAAGGCAGACTCAGTGAATGATAAGGTAAAATCAATAATTTTGGATACTTAATCTAAAAACGAGTTTCTAATCTTTGGAAGAAAAGAAGAAAAAATAATCTGATGTTCAAAGGAAAACTTGAATTGATTGTTCATTATGCCTTAATTGTTGTATTTGTGGGGTCGTGTGGCGTAGCGGCAGAGTGCTTGCCTCGGAACCAAGAGGTCCCGGGTTCGAGTCCTGACATGCCACCGATCTTGTGCCCTTGGGAAAGGCACTTAACACGATTGAAAATGTGTATTGTATTGTCCCCTGTGTTGGTGGTGGCATTGATATAAGCTTAAAAAAACTTAAATGTGCCGTCACCACGTCTTGTGATTACATTTTGGAATATATAAAACAAGCGAAAGTAAAGTTTGTAATTTCTAAGATACATGTCTCGAATGCCTTTCCACCGAAGCAAATGCATGTTGACGACCAAATACAAAAGTAGTTATGTGTGGATCTTATTTGCATACAGAGAAGCCTTGTCACATTTAAACGTACCATGCTCACCAAACATAGCCTGGGTACCATCCGGATTTTCGCTACGCAACGCTCGAAAAAATCGAGCGTTGCGTAGCGAAAATCCGGATGGTACCCAGGCTACACCAAACAACCAAAGGCCTTGTACGACAAAATCACATTCCAATCTGAGATTCACAACTACCGAACACGTTTAACCAGCACAAACAAAATCAGACTACCGAAACAAAAGTCAAACTCTCAGAAAAAGCGCTTTATGTACAGGACGTCACAGTTGTGGAAAACATAGGCAACTAGCAAAGTACTGGATTGTAAATAGTGAATTGTGTAAAGTTTGCCATGTACTGTTAATTTTGTAATGTTTTTTTTAACGTTTGTAATACATGTATGTAAATATGAATGTGTAGACCACAGGAAGAATAGCCTCTTATGAGGCTAATTGTGGATCTGAATAAAACTGAAAACTGAAACTCTAGACATCATATATTCCAAAATTCAGACAAGTCACAGCTGCAAAACTCGTCTGTAACCGGCCCCAGCGACAAACAGTTCCAGTTTGTAGTCTCATCAATAAGCAGAAGAAGTCGCGGAGATACGCATGAGTGGAAACAATAAGACATCCAAAAGACTTGAAGATGCCTCCCATCGCGATCTAATCCAGCATCTCCCGAAGGCAATTTCTTAGAGGCTTCGCTTGAATTATCTCCAAAGTTTGGCGGCGACCTGCGGAACCTTGCCAACCTTTTTGCCTAATTGGTGGGGCATCCACCGGCGCCGGTGCCGCGCACGGGGGAGGACCAGAGGACGAAAGACGGCTTCGGGCATCAATCGGGCCGCTGTCTGGGACGTGACGTGCGCCCCGCCCGGGTCAACCCTCCCTGCTCCGCCGGCAGACAAGCCGGCTTCACCGCCCCGACCAGGAGGGCTGAGCTCGGGATGGAACTCACTCAAGAAAGTGATTATCGTGCATTAGAATCACTTAGGAGGGACACCGCGGATAGCCAACCAATTTATAACTATTAGCCCTTTCCACCCCTTTGCTTACGCCAAAGGTCTACAAGAACACCTTAAGCGGTTAGGCTGTCTTTACATCTTCCGACTTGGCTTGTAGACGGTTTATCTCATGTTCAGACGTCGGTAAATAGATCTTGTTAGTAAAATTGACTGGCCGCTATTCACTGATGTTTACTAATAGTGCCTGGTTCGTTAGACAGTAGGGGAGTAGCCGGGTAGAGCAGTAGTAGTTACCGCTATCGTGGTGCGCTGCTCTCCTGTTAGCAATTTCCCAAGTTCAAGGGTCAGCTGTCTCGCTGATTGTGTATTTTGGAAACATCACGGAACGCAATTAACTCCCATCAAAATCACGGCCGGGAGAGAACCGGGGGCATCGGAGGGATTCCTCACCAATTAGGCACAGGCCCGGCGCTAGGCGACACTGCGCCCCGCCTGCTGCACATTCCACGCTTGAACTTCTACTACTAATGCTGGGGTGGTAAAAAAAGGTAGACATTTTAGCGGCGTCGTTAAGAAATGAAGCGGGCATCCAGTGCAATTTCAGCGCGCCAAAACAAAAATATTCGTGGGGTCGTGCGGCGTAGCAGCAGAGTGCTCGACTCGGAACCAAGAGGTCCCGGGTTCGAGTCCTGACATGCCAATGATCTTGCCCTTAGGAAATGCATTTTACACGACTTTCCTAGCTTAACTCAAGTGAAAATGAGTATTAATATTGTCATGTTCTGTATTTGTACTAGCTCTGGGTTGGTGGTGGCATAAAATAAGTTGATAATTTGAGTGTGCCGTCGCCATGTTTGGTCATGAAATGTTGAAAAAACAAAAACAAAAATACTCTGGATGAGGAAATACGTCTAATATTGACATTTACTAACATTTTCAGCACATTTTGGTCACCAATTCATACTTGAAGCGTTTGAAATAACCCACAAAAGAGCTACGTGCAGCGTCTCTTTATTTTTGGGTACCACCGCCGTATTTTTAGTATACCAGTTAGCCCTTTTTTAATTGCTTTTGTAATGCCTCCAATGTTTCTGGCATGGTTGTTGTTTTTGTATGAACACACGATAAAAGACAAGAGATTTGGTGGCGAGGAGATATTTTTGTCACTGAAATTCACATGACTTGCATCGGATGCCCAAGACTCACATCTCATTTTCTTCTTGTATAATGTTATATTTGGCCGTGAAGTTTGATGCACAGGGGATTGAAAGATGCACTTCTTGCAAAAGCAAAGAATGGCTATTTGGCAAAAAAATAACTATGACAATCAACCATTAAATACTTTGTCATATTTTCGGCTATTGTCACCAACAAGTAATTTGGAAGAACAAGAAGGGCTCAGAGAATGAATGAAAGAGCGAGCAAGTGAAAGAAGGACGGAGTGTGACAGTGTGTGCATGTGGGTGTTTGGACTCTTCTTCCGTTACTTTAATTTTACTTAGGCCACAACAAGTAAATTTTATGGAGGACATCCTCTGCCGACTCCAAATCTAATGCGAGCGGGCGAAAAAAACAAGGCGGGCTGAAAAAAAAACAAGGTTCCTACATTTTAAAATGTTGACTCAATCATTGTACAAATGGTTTTTATTCAATGCGAACATCATATACACAGCCAGCATCACATATCACTGCATTAAAGTAAGAAACAAAACATTAAATCAGAGCCTTTTCTTCAGTTATCTGCCTCCCGGCATGGTAACAGACATCTTTGCCCGTTTTCGGCATGTTGACCACTGTCAGAAGGCAACAAAATTTCTTTTTTTTTTCAAAATCAGGCGAAAATGAATGCGCGCGCTGATGTCATCCATAAAAATTATTTAATACTTTACTTTACTGGGGACTGACAACACATCAGTACACGGGTCATCAAGGCAGTCGAAACTGGTAGTAGATGACCCACAAATACAGACGTTATACAAACATAGATAAAGAAATCTAACCGCAAAGTACAAAACAAGACATAATGTTAACATCCTTAATTGGTGGCAGAAGACAATACAATTTACACGTAGTACAACAGATAAATATGAAAAAAAATATTCCTACCAAGCAGCAAATCGTGCATGAATAATGTGTGGACACAAGTTGAAATGGGTGGAAGACTTAGGGTTACTAAAGATATTAGTGTAAAATCGGGGCAAAAAATGAAAATCCTCACACCTAGCCCCCTGTAATAGTTTCATTTAATGTTTTTCTCTTATTTTAACTCATACCAATTATTATCATTATCATTATTGCACTGTATTTATAACTTACATTATCTTATTTCATTGTCATTAACTTATTCCGTGCATTATTTGATTATCCTTACTGTATTATTTCCATCTTCTATTGTATTATTTCCATTTATTGATTATACTTAATTTTGTATAGTTTAGAGGAGGAGGGCCTTGTATAAGCATTCCATGCCCCTCCTCCTTCACCTGTTTTATCCTCGTTTTGTATTATTAATGTCTGTTTTGTTTATGTGCAAACTAATCAAATCAAATCAAATCAAACCTTCTTCTGCTCATCCTGTTCGAAGATCGTGGTGAAGAAGGCATCTTTGATGTCTTCTACAGCGTCCGTTATCTCGTCTGCTTTGGCAGCGTCTAAGTTGGTATCTCCGTCAAAACCTAACGACAACATTTCGTCAATACACAGAACTTCATTGCACGACAATTCTTCATGGTACAATGTATGGCAACAACCGTTGAACATAGTTTAAAAAGGTATAGAATAAAACTTTACAACCTAATTACTAAACCTTCATGGCTAGTGGCTTGTAGAACGAAGCAGTATTTTTATATATTTGCATGTACCTTTTTTGTACTGTGGGTGCTAAAGATATTTTCGAATCTGTCTGTAGCATCGAGTATTTTGAAATCTTAGTAAAACGTTGGCCTTTATTCCAACATACAATTTACAGAGAGATCAAATTTTCAGCGACCAATGTCGTCTTCATCAGGATAATCAATGACCAAACAACACTCACAATGACAGTGGTCGCTGACAATTGGATCTCTCTGTAAATTGTGTGTTGGAATAAAGTTTAACGTGTTACTATGGTTACTACCAACACAGATGAACTTTCATGATATTGAGAGACTTTGGAAATCTGTTGAACTTGATTTACGAAATGTGAATAGCTTGTTACATAACACATCTATATCTATCTACTTTATCTCTTTACTTTCTATAAAGAAACCTACAGTGGGCCTCACTGGAAGACAGAAGAAAGATGTCCAGACTATGCATGATGTACAAAATGACTAATAAACTGATGGACGTCCCAACTACTAAGAGAACAAGAAATAGTACCAGAGCTATCAACCAAGGATTGAGGTGTTCAAGAATTCATTCTTTCCTAGAACTATCGCAGAGTGGAACTCACTGTCACCAAGTACAGTAGGGACATTGTCATTAGATAGCTTTAAACAATGTCTAGAGCTAGGAGTTCAAGGGTTAGGTGTAACAAGTCGATCGGTGTAATATAGCCAGCTGCCGCCGCGCCGCGTGCCTGCTAAGCTGGTGTGTTACGCCGAAAGGCGGTTATACCGGCTATACAGATACAGATACTTCATCGCTGGTACATGTATGTAACTGTCTACATACAGGACCGTGCATACGTAAATGCCCACTTAGCTCCCCAGAAGGTGTACAAGGGTTTTACAGCGACGTTGTACGCTAAGACTGAGATGCCACATGTTTCCTCCCGATAAACGCGCTATCTCTACATCTCCGTAATAACAGCGGTGGTAAATCGTGGCGAATGAGACACTTCCAGGCCTCTTGTATCGCTCAGTCCTAACTAAACATGTCCTGTATGTTCCTGATGTCAGGATGACACATGCTAAAGTACTGATGTCCTGCACAGAGATATGTAAGGCCACAGCAAGTAATTTTTTTGGATGGCATCAGCGCGCGGTTTAATTTTCGCCTGATTTTGGGGAAACAAAAAACAAGACATTTTGATGCCTTCTGACAATGGTCAACATGACGAAAATGGGCAAAGATGTTACCATGCCAGAAGATGGATGGCAGATAACTATAAAGAGAGGAGACAAGACAAGGCTCTGATTTAATATTTTGTTTCTTACTTTGATGCAGTGATATGTGACGCTGGCTGTGTATATTTGATGTTCCCATTGAATAAAAAAAAAAAAAAAACATTTGTACAATGATTGAGTCAAAATTTTAAAATGTATAATTTTCGCCCCGTCTTGTTTTTTTTCGCCCGCTCGCATTAGATTTGGAGTCTGAGGAGGATGTCATCCATAAAATTTACGTGCTGTGGCCATATCTACACACACGAAATGAAGACTCACCCCCTTCCCGGGCTACTAGCCTCAGGATGGCTCTGGTTTGAGAGATAGTCGTCCCGTCCTCCAACTCAAGCCACGGCAGCTGACGGAAAGGTCCGGTAAATTCTCCAGCTTTCAGAAAAAATAACAGGAAGAAAAGTGAAGCTTTAGTCCTTGTGTGATTTGAATCATGATTTCAGTGCGAGTAGGATTGTTGCAGCATCTTGATAACAGAATATGCAGCATTCAACTGTCATTTCCAACACGTTAAACAACTCATGACTCAAATATAAAATCTTTTCATGAAATAGGTTGAACATCTATTCAAACCATCAGAAAGTCATATTTCCAGCTTTCGATTCTTGCCACAATATTACATACAAATACAACATGAAGTGTATCAATCATTCTCTCTGTCACTGGTTCTGTATATCTATATGTCTGTTTGCTCTTCTTCTTCCCCTGTCCCTCTCAGTCTCTCCCCCTCCCCCTCTCAGTCTCTCCCCCTCCCTCTCTCTCTCTCTGTCTCTCNCTCCTCCTCTCCTCTCTCTCGTCTCTCCTCTCTCTCTCTC